CAGGGGTCATAATAATTAATACTGAGTTTGAAAGTAAACTTGAAACTGCTTAAATTTTTGTCACTCATTAAAACTTTAGTAGAAATTTTATGAATTTTAATGTTAATTTTTTTGCATTTGTATTTCCTCTTTTTGTTACCATCAGTTTCTGAGAAGGAGATGAAGTCGTGTAGTTACCTGTACACTCTCTGATCACACCGCAGCACGATCAGAGGATCCACCATCAGGTCATTCTGTGTGTTCTTCTGCTGCCCAAGCAGCCTGGCTGAAGGTTGGAGGGCATTTACTGTCATCACCCACAACCTAAAACACAAACATAGGCTTCAACTCTTTAGAAATTTGAATGTGCTATGGCCACACTTACAGCTCCACATTTAACAATGTGGAGTTACTGTCTGAAACACAGAAAAGATTTGTTTTAAAAGACAACAAGGAAAATGTTGGTTGGAAAAAAAAGTCATGTCTGACTTATGGCAGCTAATTTATTTTGGAAGATATATACCATATGAAGCACAGTTTTGTTTGGGCTTRATGGCTTCATTTACTCTTAAGTTGGCCCATGGTAACATTTCACCCTCAATCCTTCTTATCAAACTGATGTTGATCTCTGAGCAGCACAAACACTTGGAGCTCCAAGCCTTTGGGGCAGCTTTGCACACAAGCGAGTCAATCAATAGATCTGTAAGAAATCTGACACTGCTGCCCTCCTCCTAGATTCACCTCCTCTATTTCTCTGCAACATTCAATACAAGCAGCAGCAACGAGGCTAAAGGAGGGTGGAGAGGTAACAATCCTTTACATCTGCTTCATGGAGAGTTTTCCTGCCCTGAGCTCTTCTTGTTCCAGGCCTCTTCTGGATCAATAATATGTCTGCTCAGAGGTGAGGTAACAGTGTCTGTCAGGCCCTGGGGGAGAGTGATGGTGAACCTCGTGTAATAAGCACATTCATGAACACTGACAGGGTTGCTCTGCTCGTTGCTGTTCTATTCATACAGCAACCCTGCTCCAAAGCTTTTCCTTTAGCCTGTTTACTGTTCACAGCAACTTTTCACTCTGCTGAAAGACAAGCTCAGTGTTCAGCTTTTTTTTATTTAACAGCTACACAAGATATTTATCAAAATATAAACAATTTTAATTGATAAAAATTAAATACTTTTTAGATTAATTTAAAGCCTTAACAAAAAAGGGAATATCTATTCTTTAGTTGGAATTCAAATGTCAACGATTTGCCATCCCCTACATTTTTTAATATAAACATTTTAGGCCATTGCACTTTCACTTAGTCCTATCCAGAACATGTACCTGCGGGGCATCACTGTGTTCAGGCCCATCCAGAGTTTGTTGAGGGTCTGTATCAATCGGCGAGGCACGGCAGGCTCCAGCAGCAGAGCCATGCTGGCTGTGAGAGCCTCTGCATAAGGAATGAGGTCTCCAGGTGAAAGCAAAGTTAAATGCTCCAGGATCCGCATGAGCCTAGGACTGCTGGAGGTCAACTTCTGGAAGGCTGGGGGAGCAAAAACAAAAATATTGGTTTCATCTTTTAAATACAGAGCACAGGGCTGCAACGATTAATCGACAACTAATCGATTATTAAAATAATCGTTAGTTGCAGCCCTATTTTAATTCTTAAAGAAACTCTATTTTCAAACCTGACAGACCTGTGCAGTRGCAGGTAGCAGAGCTTTATGCTTAAAAACAAAATACTGGAATCAGATCTTCTATATTTACTGAGATACTTTTTGTGAAGCAGGCGCTACTTCAGGATTGTGGTGACTTGACTCCTGCATGTGTGGAACACATAATCTCTAAAACTTGCAAGTAATAAGCAGCTGCTGGAGTGGCCAGTAAAATATTAAGCTTTGACAAAATAAAATAATCRTCAGCTCATCACACAACGTGTCTTACCTTGATGGACACTTTGTGTTTGGTGAAGGCCCGGCTCCGAAGCAGCTGGTAAATACAGTGAATTGGGAGAAATCCTGTGATGTTGGCGCTTAAATTGTTGGTCACTGCAACTCTCACAGCATGGGCTGTAACTACCTGCAATGACAAAAATAACAAACATCTCATCAATGCAGTAACAACAACAAGTAAACAAATATCTGCGATGGTTTCTGCAGTTTGATGCCTCTTCATTGATCAGATTAAATGTCTGATGTTAAGTATCAGTATGATGACTGAAGGTTCCTGCATACTCCMTCCGAACTGCTGAAATGGGTTCAGATGTCGCAGTTTCATAATGAAAATTGCATCATTTTGTTTGCATTGTCGACATTTCGGCAGCTTCTTGACACAACGCACCGGCAGAACTTTTTACATAAGAACTTATTGTGTGATTGGTCCGAAGTTCGTGGGAGTGTTTGTTCATGCTGAAAGTGCTYAGAAAGTGCTCATTTTTCCTTCAACCACTCGCTTAAAAAATAAAAAGTGACTCACTGTTGTACCAGGAAGTAGCAATTTATAAAGATAGTCAAACGGCTAAAAACTCATGGACGGAGATAAAACAGGCATTTTGCACGGTGTAATATAACTGATAAAAATGGGACAGAATAAATAACATCAGACGACTGGTCTCTGACTTTTTTTTTTCAGCATTGTAGACCCCAGCGGGAGGAACCCCCCCTGTAGTGACGTATGCTGCAGCAGGAGGGGTTTCCAAGAAACTCGGCACGGAGTGTTTGAAGGTATTTGCGAAAACAGATGCAGATAAACCACGAGACTGCGCATCTACTGTTTGGCTTCGGAGGGAGTATACAGGAGCCCTAACAGTTATTATATTAGACTTATTTTTGTTAAATAAATTAATGTTAGCATCAGTATGCAACAAAATCAAAATATCCAAAAAATCTAATCATGTCTCAAAAACTGCAGAGTTGTACCTTAAAAGTAAATACTTTGAGGCTAACTGAAAAGCTTTAGATACAACTTTCAATGAGAAAATATCAAGACTGTGAGCAGAAAATTTCCACCAGAATAGATGGATACAACTGTATACATACTTGTTCAGTGAAAATCTCCTGAGTGAAGATGGTCTTCATCTTGCTCAGAGAGCTGGGCTTGATGGCAATCTGTAGAAAGTTAAATGCCATCACCAGAAAAAAAGAGAAAGAGAGAAATAAAAAAACCAATGAGAAACACTGACAGTGGTAGGCCCTCTGTGAGTGAAAACAACCTGCAGGCAGCTGTGGCAGTATTTTGTAATTCCCTTCTTTCATATTTCATAAGAAAATTCTACATGGCAGGCAGAGCGCTGAATTGAAAGGATTGCCCTAGAGGTGGAAGCAAACAGGCTCCAAATCCAATTACATTACACATCTTAGTGGAAAATACACTCAGACATGAAAACTATTTAGGACACAGGGAGCAAACAATGGTGCACTTAATAAGTAATAAAATGGCAAATTGGCCACAGGGTACAGTGTGTATTGCTTAGATATGTGCATGCTGCAAGTGTTTCATTAGTGATATAGACTGTATATGCACCACTGCTGTAGTGAAGTGAGCCAGTACCTGGTCAGCCAGACAGATTTATTGATCAATGTTTCCCTCCCACCATCCACATTACCTTCATCCCCAAAGTAGAGCACACCAATTCAATAATAGAGCTGAGCTGGTTGCTATGGAAGTACATGGCAACCAGTAATAGCATCTCTCCAAAAGAAGCAGATACGCCTGCAGCACTGTAAGAAAGAACACACACAACACACATGCAGGAGGCAACTGAGGAAAGCATCAAGGACTGCTGATAATCCAACAGAATTTCAACAGTGATTATTATACTTCCTGAAACAAGTAACCTAMATGATCTACTAGTGTACTTCTGAACATTCATGCTTTATGTAGCAGAGTCACAAAAAAAACATGAATACACTTGTGTAATCTGCAATTTTTATAGGTTATATAACTTATTTCACCTGAAAAAACAAGCAGCTTGGGGGAAAAATGTGTTTGAATGAAAACACAACAAAACACATTGCATAAAGAAAGAAAATCTTCAATACTTCATTATTTATATAGCGAGTGTTAATGTTGCACAATTCTCTAATCCTAAAAAAGGTACTAATTTCATCATAATTGCTAGGATGATTAAAAAGTTTCTACATTTTAATTTTAGAACTTCCCAACGTCTGAAGGCAGTACTTTCTTAACATAAATACAAACATTTTTACCTCTCAAAGTATTCCTCCTCTTTGATCATCCAACTCAGCCACATGACCATCAGCTGTTCTTGCTCTGGAGTGCTAAAATACACACACAATAATATTTAACATATATATGATTCAACCAAACACAGAACAATGAGATCATGTGACATGTAGGGACATCATCAGGAAATCACAACGACTGGGGGGCAAAACATGTGTTGTGATGTCTGTTCAATAAAAATAAATAAATAAAAAGGAAAAGACAACAGTAAACAAGAAATGATACTTGTTTTATGTACCTGACCAGCATAGGGAAGGCCAGCAGCTTGCAGAAAGACAAAGACACAAAGCGAACCCCAGCAGGAGTTGCCGGGGGTCGGCTAGTCATCAGCTGCAACAGCTGCTCCGCCTCTTCATCAGTAGGTCTAAAGAGCAATCATAAACAGAAAGACAGATGAAAAAAATCTTTAGAAAATGTACACATCATGAGAGGCTAAACATTTGGGTTAAGAAAAATACAAGTAAAAAATATTAATACATCCAGACCTCAGAAGTATGGTATCTGAATCTATGGCTACGTTCACACTGCAGGTCTTAAAAGGTATTATTTCATGCTTTTAAATCCTTCTTTTTCANACTCACCCTGGTGAAGTTGGCTCTGGGTGTATCTACAGGTGTTGGTGGGAAGCATCATCCTTCTCAGAAGGGGCAGGGTACCGGTCACCTCTTCCTCACAAACCCAGTCCTCCACTAAACACAGGTGGGGGTAGTTGGTGGCAAGCAGTCTCAGCAGGGCAGAGTGCAGACCTGAAATCATTCACTTTGTTCCATCATAATAATAATACTGTTTTCCTTTGAGGTAACTTAAAAGGCTAATCAAGATTCTTATAATTTAGTGCACGTCAAACTTGAGGCCCGAGGGMCAAATGTGACCTGCCACAGCATTTTATGTGACTTGCAGGAGCTTCAAAAAAACTTATTCATATTTTAAAATAGGCATATGCTGCTTTAGAGCCAGCACTGACCATAAACTCCATCTCTCATTTACATGTCAATTTTTTTTCTCTTCAAATTTGTTTCAGACGGTTTCTGTGCACATACTATTATGTAGAGCTTAGTTATTGTTTGTTAGCTGTGCTCAGTTGAGGAATGTGACTTTTCTTGTTTAGCCAAAGTTTGACACGAAAGTTGATTACAACTTTCCCTTTGAAGGCAAACATAATATTCATGTGGCCCTTGCTGAAAATGAGTTTGACACCCATGATTTAGTGTTTTTAGTAGCTGTGAACGAGCTCACCCCCCAGCTCCTGCTGCAGCCTCTGGGCCTGGGTAACCAAGTACTTAATGGGGATCTGGTCCATCAAGGCTGCTGAATAGGACTTGGGCTTCCTCTGCATCAGAGCTTAAAAAACAAAAAGTTGTGTCAGACACAGGCCATAAAAAGCAAAAACAGATAGAGAATGTTTAGAAAACAGAAGGACAAGAATTTCATTTGGATGTCTGAGGGCATCCAAGGTGTTAAAGAAATGTAAAAGTGATTTTTTTAATGACATGGGTTCATAGCCACTGCTGATGGGYTTCATTACTTCCTCCTTGAAGCAGGCGGGAGCACATGGGTAAACACAGCAATTAAAAAAATGGACATAAACTCTCACATAAATCTGGCCTGATGAAGGGCAGGAGGAGAGAGACTCTACACTCAAGTCTCTTTCATAAGTCAAATTAGTGAAATCGCTACACAGACTGGCAGATTCCCCTCCGGGTCAATCATAAAATCACAGGTGAAGACGGCCAGGTCCCGCTCACATGTATGCGTTCATAAATTAACACAGCAGCGTGGAACCAAAAGAGGCGTGGAGCAGAACTCAGCTTGGCTGAAGTGGAACATGTGTGACAGACATCTGCTGCCTTGTATCAAACAAAACAAACTGAATACTTTAGTGATTCTGTGGTGATTAAATATTTCTAAACTAGCTACACAGTTGCGATTCTGCGTCATCTTTAATAGTCCCTCGATAATAAATCTGTAGATTAATACTCTGCCGCTCACTGACTCTGCGTCRTATCATATATATATATACATATATACACAGGTGCTGGTCATAAAATTAGAATATCATGAAAAAGTAGATTTATTTCAGTAATTCCATTTAAAAAGTGAAACTTGTATATTATATTCATACATT